TGGATGAACACAGCAGGTCAAGCAGCATCATAGGAGCAGAGAGATGAAGGGTCTAGGCCCGAAATGTCAGCCTCTCTGCTCCTATGATGCTGCTTGACCTGCTGTGTTCATCCAGCCCTGCACCTTGTTGCCTGATGTAGGTATCCTTGTTGTCCAGATGTTCCAGGGATGAGCGCAGGGCCAGGGAGAAGGCATCTGCCAGGGACTTGTTGCACTAATAGGCAAATTGCAAGGGGTCTAGACAATCTGGGAGGCTGGAGTTGATGTGAGCCTTGGCCAACCTCTTGAAGCACTTTATAATGATGGATGTCAGAGCCACCAGGTGGTAGTCTTTCATATCATATGTTCTAACACTCACCCTTTTCAAACCACTTGGTTCTGGACTGTGTGGGCATCTTAGGTCATGAAGGTTCATTTCAATTATCTTTTTGTGCATTTTAATTACACTGAATTTTATGAACTAATGTGATACAAAATTCCAACAAATGAATTGTCAAAAGGACGAACATCGTATCTTGGGCAGATCAATATGTTTAAGTAAGTAATAACTGACTGTGATACAAATTCTAAATGATCCCTTCAACCTCCTCCAGGGGAATGGGGTTCCAAAATGACCACAGTGCTGGGACCACTGTTGTTAGCAATCTACGTTAACAATTTGGATTTTTGAATTAAAAGTGCATTTACTTGATACACGGTTGACGGCGAATTTGGGGGTTGGAAGCCAGTGGGAGGGGATAGACAATGCAAAGGACTGCAACACATCCAAGAAGAAAATTAACAAAATTATAGAATGGGCAAATAGTTGGCAAATGGAATTCACACAAATAGATGTGAGGTAGTACATTTTGATAGGAGGAATAGGCAGGTTGCTTATTACATGGAAAGTGCAAGTCTCAATGGGAAACTGGAACGAAGGAATCTCCAAGCACAAATTTATCAAACACTAGAAGTTTTTAGGTTATAAATTAAACAAATAGAGCATTAGGTTTTATTTCCAGATAAACAGAATTAAAAGTAGGAAGTTATGCTAAACCTGCACTGAGCATTGGTTAGACCTTACTTTGAACACTGAGCACAGTGCTAGCTGGCATTTTGTTACAAAACAATATAGAGGCACTGGAGAGGGTACAGACAAGATTTATAAAGAAAAAGTACCAAAAATATGTGCACTTACAAATCAGGGAAAGAAGGACAGGATGGGTCTCTTTTTGCTTGAAGATCCAAGGGGTGACCCAACTTAGGTCCTCAAAACTATGAAAGATTTTGTTAGAGTGACTGCAGAGAAAATACAGCCTTTTCCAGAGAACAGTTGAAGTAAACATCATCAATATAAAGGTGGTGAGCAAGAAATCCAAAAAGGGATCCAGAAAATTTTTTTTTTTTAAAACCTGAATTGTGGTAAGAATGTGGAACTCATTATCACAGGCAGTGACTGGGGCAAACAACAGGAAGGCATTTAAGGGGAAACTAGGGCATGCCAATGAAGTTGAAATAAATAGATGGCTACAAAGTGGACTCAAATGAGAGAAAATAGGAGGCAGCTTGAAGGACTAAAAAGAAATGAGTGCTTACAGGCAAAGTACTACAGTGGTTTGTTATTGCTTTCAGCAGGATGACTAACCAGGAAACTCTCCCAATTCTTATCAGTCACCATCAGCCATACTGCAACGATTTAAAGGCTGAGAATCAACTAGTGTGGCCAGATTATGGATGTATTTTACATGGCCATCAAGTCTTGACATGGGGCTCAAACGTAGAGCATCTGGTCCAGAGGTAGTTGTACAATGTAATTTTTCCAAAAGCATTAATGTTGGCAACCACAGTAAACGCCACCCAATCTGATGATATCATGCTGGTTTGGGTACAGATAAGAGAGAACAACTTAGGGTATCATTGAGCACACATCTACATCCACAGGTCTGCTCACAGTCTCAGTAACTATATCTAACAAAACAATGTGACGTATGCCTAATTGCTACCTTCAAACAAAATGCCTATTAAGTCAAGAGCCTCGTATCAATATTCAATAGTGGCTGTTCTCCACCAGTGTAAATTTATTCGACCTTTAGAACTAAATTAGAAGAAAGACACATGGTGGAAGTATCCTCCCACCTACAAATACCACATGGTGATCAGTGGTGGGCACACTACTTAATACAAGGTACAAGAGTGAAAAAGATCTGATAAATCCAGGAGAAGAAACTTCCAGAAGATCAAGAGAAGTTATGCCTAACAATTCTGTGATTTTTTTGAGGAAGTAATGAGCACATTAGACAAAGGGGAGCCAGGAGACGTTATCTCTTGATCTAACTAAATAGGTGCAAGTTGACTAAGGCATAAATGCTTGTCGGGAGCTATTACATAAGTTAATGATTCTGAGTAGCATTAAGCTCCACTCAACCTGATATCTGGCTCATTTGGCTAGAGACAAGGCACAACGTCTCAGGCTTGCATCAAGTGCAGACCCATATCCACAGGTCTCGTTGTAAACATAGTAACAATATCTAACAAACTAATGTAACATGAACCTGATTGCTATCATGCAATAAGCTATATTTAAGAACCTATTCTTGTTAAGTTCTAACTGTGGTTATTTCTCTACCATTGTAAATCAGTTAGGATCAATTAGATCCAGCCAAAGAAGCGAGGATTGGTGGCATCATTCTTCTTCCCATCAAGCACAGTTGGGATGTTACCACTGAGCCATTAGACACAATAACAACCAAACCAGAATCCCCCTCGTCCTCACGTACCACCCCACCAACCTCTGGATGCAACGCATCATCTTCTGCCACTTCCGCCATCTGCAATCCGACCCCACTACCAAAGACATTTTTCCTCCCCTCCCTTATCTGCCTTCCGGAGGGACCACTCTCTCCATGACTCCCTTGTCCGCTCCACACTCCCCACCAGCCCTACCACCCCCGGCACTTTTCCCTGCAACCGCAGGAAGTGCTACACCTGCCCCTTACACCTCCCCCCTCACCCCCATCCCAGGCCCTAAGAAAACCTTCCACATCAAACAGATGCTCACCTGCACATCTGCTAATGTGGTATATTGTATCCGCTGTTCCTAATGTGGCCTCCTCTACATCGGGGAAACCAAGCAGAGGCTTGGAGACCGCTTTGTGGAACACCTACACTCGGTTCACGACAAACGACTGCACCTCCCAGTCGCGAACCATTTCAACTCCCCCTCCCACTCCTTGGACGACATGTCCATCCTGGGCCTCCTCCAGTGCCACAACAATGCCATCCGAAGGTTGCAGGAACAGCACCTCATATCTCGCTTGGGAACCCTGCAGCCCAATGGTATCAATGTGTACTTCACAAGCTTCAAAATCTCCCCGCCCTCGACCGCATCCCAAAACCAGCCCAGCTCATCCCTGCCTCCCTAACCTGTCCGTCCTTTCTCCCACCTATCCACTCCTCCCACCTCAACCCCGACCCCCACCTCCTACCTACCAGCCTCAACCCCACCTCCTTGACCTGACGTCTTTCCTGGACTGACCAACCTCCACCCTAACTCCTCACCTACACTCACCTTTACTGGCTCCATCCCCGCCTCCTTGACCTGTCCGTTTCCTCTCCACCTATCTGCTCCTTTATCCATCTTCCATCCGCCTCCCCCCTCTCTCTATTTATTTCAGAATCCCCTTTCCCGCCCTCATTTCTGAAGAAAGGTCCAGACCCGAAACGTCAGCTTTCCGGCTCCTCTGATGCTGCTTGGCCTGTTGTGTTCATCCAGCTCTACACCTTGTTATCTCAGACATTTTAGTTCACTGCTTTATATCCTGGTAATCCTGTGTAATAAGAATGAGGATTGTATCTGAATCAAATCTGAGGAAAAGAGCTACCCAGGGCAGTGTTTTCAAACACGCAAAAGTAGCAGATTAGCCTATAGGCTGACCATGGAAAATAACTGAAAACATCATCTGAGATGCTAACAGGGAATTGAATCTCAATAAGTATGGTAATGAAGTGGAGAGACAGTATTAAAGAAACAGATGAAAACATGTAGAAAGGCATTACAGGCTACAGCATAGTACATGTCAGTCCTTCGAAGAGGAAATGTTGCTCAGATCAATGATTGATTTTAGTCAAGGTGGTATTACATAGTCAAGGCATAAAAAGATGTACAAACATGAATCAGATATATCACTTGGGCTCTGGTAATGGAGCTATTTTGCCGAAGTGCTCAATATCCCTATTGATACATCGGGGAATATTCAGGCCTACCGTTTTGTTCTCTTTGAACTCCAGCTGCTAGTAGGTCTGGCTCCCCAAAGCTGATATCATTGAGCCTGGATCCCAAGCATTCAACAGAAAGAAGCTTACACCATTCCTCTGCTTCCAGTTCTGTGGGGAAAAATATACATGGAACACATGAGATCATCACACCTGTCAATACTGTTCAGACTGCAAATATGAATACCAAATCAAAGCAATGAAACACATCTGCAACTTGAGATATTCAGATTTTAGTTCACACATCCTTGGATTTATTTATAAAATGTAACCTTTTATTTGAAACAGATATCAGTCAGAATTGATATTCAAAATGGGTAGTAGATCAATATAGACAAACTGATAATAAATTCCTCAGTTACGACAGTATTATTTTTGGACACAGGTCACACACATATTTCATTTGTTGTAACAGCAGGCAATGCTTTGTAAGGACAGGAATTATGTGTCAGTTAATGCCTGGAATTTATGGCCTGTTGTGATGGATGTGTTTTCAGAGGGGTAAGGGGTGTTTAAATATGACAGGTGGTTAGCCCATCATGTTCCTGTCCACACCAGCAACCTGTTTTCCCCCTAAAAGAACAGACACCTGCCATATTTGTAAAAATAAATAATAGGCAATGGAGCAGATTAACAAGACAATTGAATCAACATATTTTTAATTAATTCACGGGATGTGGGCTTGCTGAGCTAGCATTTAATGCCAAGTTCTAATTACTTTTGGGAAGGTAGTTGTGAACTGCCTTGTTGAATTGCTACAGTCCACGTGCTGTAGGTACATCCACAGTTACATTAGGAAGGGAAGGAATTTCCAGGATTCCGACCCAGTGACTGTGAAGGAATGGCTCTATATTTCCAAGTCGGAGTGTTGAGTGACTTGGAGGGAAACTTTCAGGTGGTGGTATTCCCATGTACCTAGATGGAAAAGGTCATGGTTTTGAAAGGTCCCGTCTCAGGTTGGTGCTGTGCATCCTGTAAATGGTACTCGCTGCTAGCAGTGAGCATCATTGGTGAAAGAACTGAATACTCCTATGGTTGGTGTGTGTGTGGGAGCCAGGAGTTGAAGGGCCATTCTTTTTGACACGACTGATTAGATACAGGAGGATGAAGGGGAATATATCCTTCAGTTTAGGCTGCCCCATGTGCATTGGGTTCACCGCTTCCCCAAGACTTTATATCTCCCCTGAACTTTGTAGGCTCCTCAGTCTTTGAATTTTGTCTCATTCCTACATTGTAACTTTTCTAGTCTGGAATGCTTGGGAACAATTTTGGATTCAAAATTTCTGGGTTACAGAGTTGGGTCAGAATGCCCAAGCCTAAGCATATGAACTGGAAAACACTGTGGATATAAATATTTACTTGAAGCACAACACAATGCTGTACGTAGCCAAATACTGTGCTTTTCCTATTTCTGCTCCCAAACTAACGAACCATAACAACAAAATGGCTTGGGTTACAGAGTCAGAGCTGTACAGCATGGAAACAGACCCTTCGGTCCAACTCGTCCATGCTGACCAGATATCCTAAATTAATCTACTCCCATTTGCCAGCATTTGGCGCATTTCCCACTTAACCCTTTTTATTCAAATAGCCATCAGGTGCCTTTTAAATGTTGTAATTGTACCATCCTCCACCACTTCCTTTGACAGCTCATTCCATACACGCATAACCCTCCACGTGAAAAAGTTGCCCCTTCGGTCCCTTTTAAATCTTTCCCCTCTCACTTAAACCTACGCCCTCTGGTTCTGGACTCTCCCATCCTAGAGAAAAGACCTTGGCTATTCACCCTATCCATGCTCATGAATTTATAAACCTCTGTGAGTAACAAGATAATTGCACAACATCTAAATACTTTAAAAAATTAAATGGAGACATTATAAGACCAGCAAGAAACTGTTAAGTTATACCAACCACTTTATCCACTAGTGTTACTGTCTGCTCAACAAATTTCTAGACAACCAGTGTTTTTAAACAATAGATTTTCAGACTGAAGTGCTTATGGTGCATTTCCTAAAGATGATATCTGAGACTGCCATGCCCAAGTGTAATGCAGAGACACAAATTGTCCCCAGTTCCATTTTGAGCATTAGTGGGGTTTGGAAGGTCTTGTCTCAGGTTGGTGCTGTGCACCTTGTAAATGGTACTCACTGCTAACAGTAAGCATCAGTGGTGAAAAAATTGAATATCTGACACTGCCCATGCCTATGGTTGGTGTGTGTGTGGGAGCCAGGAGTTGAACGGCCATTCTTTTTCACACGACTGATTAATTACAAGAGGATGAAGGGGAATGTATCCTTCAGTTTAGGCTGCCCCATGTGCATTGGACTTACCTCTTCCCCAAGACTTTACATCAAGGGGAGGCAAATGCACACTACAGCTATCAATAACCTTCACTTCTGGAAGGGATTGCTGAAATGCCAGCAGAAAGCCATTTCAAATGTAAAATCTCCATAAAAACTCCACCCTTTACTTAACAAACAGACAACACTGTCACAGACAGGTGATAATGTTGTGAGTCCAGTTAAAATAATTAAGTTAGACTGACCTCAGGAAGCCTCCTAACAATAAAAGCTTATCATGTTATATAAACGGAGATGTTTATGAACTTCAGAATTCAATACAATATTAAGTGATTTCATAAAAAATCCATGGATATGTTACATCACATCAGACATATAGATTTATTAAACAATAAATAACAGCATGAGATGAGTGTTGATTGGCTGGGAAGTGTACACTAGTGGCAGAGGTATTACCATGGACAATGTACCTATAAATTTTGATTGACAGTTAACTGCCAGACTTGTTTAAATCTTCGTCCAGGCAGATTGACTCTGATCGGCCAGAGTTTTTCCCTGAGAAATTACTGGCACCTATTTTGTTGAGTTGAAACAGGCAAAATTCATGTTCTTTCTGTTTGCAAGGAACAGGGCCCTGTGTATTCATAGATGTAGCTTCCAGTATATTTGTCAGTGTAATTCTTCGACACTCCTGATTATTCAGCAAATGTCGCCCAGTTGTAGAATGGTATCCGATATTGGACACTGTGTTGCGAATTTTGCAAGTGTGGTCTAATAGTCAATGCCATGATGGTTGCAAATAGCTGAAGGAATATGCTACTTGATATGATCCACCAGTCTTTGGAATACATGGCCTACATAACATGCATCACACAGCCACTGAAATTACCATACCACATTACTCGTTTGTGTGACAGGCAGAACATATTTTTGTTGAGACTGGCATGTTGTCAGTTCACCACTAAGCACAGCCACAATCTAAGCTCTGCAGTACTACAAAATCCAGTCATCAATGTTGGTGAGCAATTAAACAAATCACTGGAAAAGGAGGTTCCACAAACATTTGCATCAATAATGAAGGGGGACCCCAGCACATCAGTACAAAAGATAAGGCTAAAGCATTTGCAATAACCTTCAAACAGAATTGTCAAGTGGGTGATCCAGTTTAGCCTCTCTGGACCCCTGTATCAGAGATGACAGTCTTCAGCCAACTTATGGTGATGTAAACAAATGGCTGAATCCACTGGATACTACAAAGGTTATGGACCCTGTCATCATTCCAGAGATAGTATTGAAGATTTGTGCTCCAGAGCAAGCAAAATCCCTAATTAAGCTACAACACTGCATTACCCTGACAAGGTGGAAAATTGCTTAGGTGCGTCCTGTACACAAGAAGTGGGACAAATCTAATCTGGAAAATTACTATTCCATCAGTGGACTCTAGATCATCAGTAAAACAAAAGAAGGGTCATCAACAGCACTAAGAAGTGGCATTTGCTTAACAATAATATGGATAAAAATGCTGAACTTCTGGGGGGAGGGGAGAGTGACAGACAAGAATGAGACTGTTAAGTGTCAATGATAATTGAGGAAAGATTCTCTGTCGGTTGGAGTTATATTTAGGAAAATGGTAAGATGGTACTGATTGTTGGAGGTCAGTCATCTGAGCTTCAGGATAGCACTGCAGGAGTTCCAGGTGCTAGTGTCCCTGGCATGATCATCCTCAGCTGCTCCGTCAATTACCTCAGAGTAAAAGATCCTAGGGAAAGTAATTTATTAAACATGCCTCATCACCCATTACCAGATCCAAGATCGCCTACTCCTTGTTTAGCTTCATGATATTTGTACTAGGAAACTATCCCTAATACTCCATCAATGACCTGCCCTCCATCATAAGGTCAGAAGTTTGAGACGTTCACTGACGATTGCACGATCTTTCAGCACCATTCATGACTTTTCAGATACAGAAGCAGTCCATGTCCAAATGCAGCAAGACCTGGACAATATTCCAGGCTTGGGCAGATAACTGGCAAATAATATATAAAAAGGCTGGACAATGACCACCTTCAATAAGAGTGAATTTAACCATTGCCCCTTGACATTCAATGTCAATACCACCTCTGACTCCCTTGTTATCAACATTGTTGGTGTGTCCATTGAGCAGAAACTGAACTGGACTGGTGATATGATATATGTCATGGCCATAACAGAATTTCAGAGGCAAGGAAGCCTGCAGCAACAAACTCGCTGCCTAACTTCTGTGAGCCTATAAAGCATCTAAAAAGGCACTTTAAGATCCTAAGAAATAGAATCATCCCCTCAAGCCTGCTCTGCCATTCAATAGGATCATGACTGATCCAACATTCCTCATATCCACTTTCCTGCATTTTCCCCATAACTCGATTCCCCGACTGGCCAGGAATTTAAATATACACAAGGACTCTGTCTCCACAGCTCTCTGTGGCAAGGAGTTTCAAAGACCCACAACCCTCTAAGAAGAAATTCCTCCTCATTTCAGTCTTAAATCCACTCAACTTTATTCTGGGACTAAGCCTAGGATCAGAGTGCATTCTCATGAACGGAAACATCCTTTCAGCATTTACTTTATCAAGTCCCTTAAGAACCATATATGTTTCAATGAGATCACCTCTCATTTTTGCATTGAGTTCCAACCTGTCAAATCTTTGTTTCTAAGTCAATCCCTCCATATCAGGGATCATCCTTGTGAACATTCACTGAACTGCCTTCAATGAAATAATATCTTTCCTTGAGTAAGGGGACCAAAACTGCTCACAGTACTCCACATGTGGT